CCTTGCTGGCTCTGTTACCCGACCTACCCTGCAATGCGGGCTCGTCCTGGCTATGTGGGAGGGAAATTAACCCTGCCGAAAGAAAGAGTGATGTTCTCCAGGTGGACGAATGAGCGTAAAGGCCATGTACCGATGTAGGAAACTACGCAGTGCACATGTATGCATGTATGTGCACACCTACGTCGTCTGTTCTGTCAGGCCGTTGGGCACATGATTTTCTACTTCCTGCGCGGCTCGCTTCCCTGGTCGGGTCTCGAGGCCAAGTCACAGGAGCCGACCGACAAAACAGATGCGCTTGCTTGCGCATTTGGAGGTTCAGATTTCGGGCTTTGGGTTCGGGCTGTGCAGCAGCTATAGGAGTCTCGTGACTCTCTTTTCAGCGTGCACAAGCCAACTGAGATAGTTCATAGTATAGTTCATACCAGGAGTAACTCATAGTACATGGGAGGCAGAGGACCGTAGCCCCCTGGCATCTGCAGGAGGAGAAGTACCGGAAGATTCGCGAGGTGAAGGCTGGTTCACGGCTGCTGTCCGTCTCTCTGACTCTCTCTCTCTCTCTTGCTCTCTTGCTTGCAGTATTTTTGATGAAACCGTTTTCCTCTTGATCTCTTTTTTTGCCCTCTCTCGAAGCGCTGTGTAGGAGACGTTCCCCATTGAGCAGCTTTGCCGTGAACTCAGATGCTCCGGAAGGCAGTTGCAGGAGCTGCGGGGCATTCAGCAATCCAGCTTTCCATTGATTTAGACAACTGCGACAATCTCGACGGACCAATAGATCCGGTGCGAGGGCTGAGAACTAGTAACAAATTCCTCTGTGTGAAGGTTTTATTGAAGACATTCTACACACTGACACTGCATCCTGAGAAGTCGCCGCCGGCACCCCAATGCATGCATTTCGAACCGCTCTTAGGCGAGGGACACCCGCAGCACTTCGCCAAGTACTTGGAGCAAGCTCGGAATCTGAAGCCAGGGCCATGGTTGTGAGGTTGGGCGGTTTGCCATGCTCTTTTTGTGCATCTGGTTGATCATCCACATGGCGGTCGTAGCTGAGTGACCGTGTTTGCGCCTGATTCTCGCCAATCGTTCCGAAATCTATGGTGTGGACTCTGCAGGTGTCATCACAAGCCTTGGGCAATCTTCGGTTGTTATAGCTTGCCCAGTCTGCATCTTGCCGAGGTATACCGAACGACCAGACTACGCCGGCATGAGGACCGCAGAGAGTGTCTCTGAAGTTGCAGCGTGGCCGCCGTGTTGTGACGCCAGGAAAATGTTCGCGTCGCTGAGGGCCGAGATCGGGCCTAGCGAGGATCACGACTTCGAGTTCCTGCGTGGGAAAGATACTGGTCGGAGTCCCAGTGTCAGTCTCGACGGCCTCAGACATGTGTGGCTCAGTAGTCAGTAGTCTTCTGCCTGACTACTCCTCCCAGGTCCGCTGGAACCGCTCCAAATCGATGACGCTCAGCTGCAGCATCCTCCCATGCGATGGTACGGGCGTGAGCAGCTACATGGGTTGTCCCTTTCATCAAACCTTGGTCCTGTATCATGCGCGAAAGATGCTGATCAGGACAGCATAGAGCAGCCAGATGACAAGGTGTTTGCCTCAGATCGGGAAACGCACGGAAAAGGATGGGTGTGCTGCAGCTCTTGTCCCTCTGAGGTCCAGAAGGCTGCATCTGGTCAAAGTTCCTGCTGCGCGATCTCCTGAAACTGGGCGCGCGCGCAAACGAACATGCAGCAACGTTGGCGACTAGTAGCTCCTTGCGGAACAGCCACGGCTCCATGATAGCTTACGTAAAGTTGTTGTTCACTTGTACCATGTCTGGTCATGCCGACTACATCTGGTCATGCCGATTATACCTATACCTACTAATGTTGCAACGTATTGGAAACACCCGGGAGTCAGGGAAACCGGAGCCCCATGTTGATGGTGCTAGTTTGGCTGCCGTGATGATTAGCAACATGACAATGATCATGCGCTTGATGATGTCGTTGTCATCATCACCACCACCATCACCACCAGTGTCACTATTAATATTTAATTAGGATTGTCATGATCATTATTCTTGGGACAAATTTGGTTACTAGATATTACTCTTATTCCCGTTACCATTATTATCATTTTAAGTATTATCATGATTATGATGATGAGAATGATGGTGATGAAGATGACGACGATGTTGATGTTAATGTTGTTGATGATTGTGATGATGAACCTTCTTCTTACTATTCTGATGTACCCCACCTCATGGACCTACCGATTTGTTTTTTGCGTTACGAGAACATGTTGTGGAAGGCTTCTGGCGATCAAAGAGTGGTCAGAGAAGGTCGAGCATATAGTACGAGGAAGAACCTGGATCAGAGAAGGCTGGTCTTCCAACTCTCCAACAATATTCCCAGGGAGGCCCTGAACACATTAGTTTCTTAGGGGCCTCTCGATACATTGGGCCTTCCACCATCGCAAGGTATCGAGAGGTCTCTCAAAAAAATCATTAGAAGCCGATTTCGTGGGGAGGTCCCTAACAAACCTGAAAGTCCTGCTCTCCAGCTCCAAGATTGGTTTTTTAGGGACCTCTCCACACTTTGGGCTTTCCATCATCACAACGTATCGAGGCAGTTTGTTACTGTGTGCAACAAACAAGAAATACTCTCCTCCGACGGGGTCAGTTACAGAGTCCAACGTTGCTTGGATCCCCTTGTCTGGCCGAAGCGCCACGGGACACGCAGAGGAAGCTCTCTGCGTCGATTCAAGTACCATGCCGGCCAATAGCCCTCTAAGCCGGAGATGCTTCCTCGTTTGCCTGAGACTGCCAGGCGTGTTTCACCTCCATGGCTTCACAGGGCCTTTTGCAACGGCACACGTGCATAGCCCCAGGCATTCCGGATGCGAGAGGAGATTGCACGGGGCACATGCTGACACTCAGGCTTAGCCGACTCATGGGGGTCTCAGCACTTGGACATGCGTCCGGAATTGGTGTTCAGGTCACTCTCAGGTTCGGAATGCCTGAGGTCACAATCCGTCACTCGCGCTGTAGCTTCAACAAAGCCGTTGGCTTCTGCCGGCACAGCCGCTTTTTGCACATCACGAGGCGAACAGTTGCAGCTTGCGGTTCTGGATTTGGCCGAGATTTGGATGAGCTCTTCGGCAGCTTCGCTGATCGCCTGCGCTTCTTGTTATATCTGCACTTGAACACAGGGCGCAGAGTTTTCGAGACAAGAGCATAGTTTTTGATTCGTGGTTGTCGCGCCTGCGTTGTCAAGCAGCTTGCCGCTTGCCCAGCGGCCAATGAACACCTTAAGCAAGCAGCTCCGGCTGCACAGTGCAAGCTGCCAAGCACGTTTCAGGCGCAACCATGTCAGAGGCACCGGTCACATGCCAGAGTGAAGGGGTTGGCAGAGCATAGAGTTCGTAACAGGTCATGTATCGAAGGAGGCTGCGGGTCGCAGGATGCTTTCGGTCGGCTTCTTTCATCCATGTGGGCGAAGCAGCAGCAGCCTTTCCCCCGAAAGCCTAAAGCCAGAAGTCGTCGAATGCAGTTGTGGGTTTGCCGAAAGCTATGCATCGCTTTGCCCGGGGCACCTCAGTGGTGACTGGGACTTCAAGCGCTGCAGCCTGTAAGATTTGGCAGCAGCGATGGTAGCATTGACCTGGAGCCTAGCATCGTGTCACCCTAAGATGTGTGCCGTCGTTGTTGAGCAATGTGCGATGGAGGTCCATTTCACGACTCGGTTGTTAAGACTTGTAGTGGGAGGTCAGACTTGAAATCTTCGTGAGCTGGCTGTCCTCCCCACGAGACACGGACCACACTGCAGCCCTACGGCCCTACGAAAGCGCTCTGTGCTGCGCTGTACTGGACTTGCAATGATTGCACTGCCTACTGTCTTGAATGAAATCCAATGTACTGTGGTTCAATCTGCTGAAAGCAAGGGTAGGCTTGCAGAAGTGGCCATTTAACCAACGGCTGAACACTAGGTTTCGGCAGTTTCTACTTCACTTTCAGTGTCTTCAATTCGCCGCAGTTGCAATGCAACCAGGCGGGGCTCGCACTTCGATGCGTGCACGACGCACTGGCTGGCCAGCACCCTCCAACTTCTACGCTCTAGACCTTGACCAACTCAAGCTCCAAACATGAGCCGACGAAGCCCAGCCGAACCACCGAGGCTGATCAGGTCCACAAGTGCCAATCCCCCGCCTCTCCACTCGATGCCAGCCGGTAAATGTGTCTAATCGGCAAAGCAGGCAAACACCGCGTGAAGCCTAGAGGCGTTCGGCACAGCTCCTCCTAGCTCCCTTGTCGCATGTAATTCCCCCCGCCGACTCCCTCTAGCCCTCGAGTTTTGCTGCCTTCGTCACGGCTTGGCTCGGGCCCATGAAATGTCCTGCTATCCGGAAGCGACGGAAAACGAACAGAGCGCCTGATCTCCAGCGCATGGAGCAAGCAGAGCCCGCTCCTCTACCGCCTCTGCCCACACTTCGCCTGCCGAGGAGCTTCAGGTCCTCAGGGGCGCGTCGCCGGTTGAGATCCGCGAGGCGGAGAAAAACACAGGGGTCCCACCACCTTGTAGTTCAAAGGGGCGTGGAAGTTGTCGCAATATGAGATGCGTTGGTGTGTCGAGGCAGCACCCGGACCCCCGGACCCATCTACTTTTATCTAAGCGGAAGTCGTCTTTTGCAGAGGCATTCCGGCGACGAGCTCTGCTGACACATCCAGACAAGGGTGGACGCCCACTGCCCAGCCTGCTTTTTGCGACTTCCATTCCATGAAGCTGGAAAGTCAGATCTTTGATCTGTCTAACGTCTCAGCGGCTAGCTGGTTCTAGTATTCGTCCTCTTCGTGCGCGGGAAGGTGGTGCAAGGGGGCTGCAGCCTGGGATGCCGCCGGCCTTTGCGATGACAATGTTTGACATCCAAACCTGATTTCCCGCTTCCGAACGACGGGGTCTGCCCTGAATTGCCGAGCTTCATGGTGCTTGCTGCGATGGGTCAAAGGCGAGTCAAAGGCCAGGAGCGCACGCTGTCAAGAAAGGGGAGGCACCATGCCCCGACTGCATGCTGCCACTGTGTCGGTCCTGCTCAGAAAATGTTTCAAGTTACGCTTGTTCAGCGTCATTGCATCCGCCGAAAAAAGAACCACCGCTCATCTGAGGTCCGGAGGAGTTTCATGTCGCTTAGCCGCAATGGTCATGTGAGACAAGAGCGCTTCGGCTTCCTCCAGGAGCTGCTGTAACAGGCAAGATCGACAGTCGAGATGTGCAATTGAAAATTTATCACAAGCCGATTGCCGAACTAAATCGTTCCCGTCCCATGGAAAGCAAGACCCCCTGACAGCCGAACCAAGCCGTTGGGCTTGCTGCCGCCACGTCTGGGCCCCCTCCCAGGGTGTTGTCGCCGCCTTTGAGATCCTCAGCGATGGATCTCGGCGCGCTGCGTACGATGAGCAGCTTCAGGAAAGTGGCTGGGCTCAACTGTGGCCCGAAGCGAGCGCGTGCTGCGCAAAGTCTGACTGACAACTTGCCCTGGCTGGTTCTGTTGCTGCTCTGATGCTTTGCACCTCATCCCAAGGCCCTCTGTAGGTCTGCGCCTACAACAGTTCAAGACAATCAGTATCCTGCAATCTTCTAACATGGCTACTCATGTGTCCATGGGCACACCTACCTGTCGGTGCCACCTCGGCGCTCCCTGCTCGGACTGTTTCGGTTTTGACGGTTGTTTGCGATTGCGAGTAATTATCGATGCTGTATCACGGCTAGTTAAGCTCTGAATTGAAATCTTGGCAAAGGCAGCAACTTCGACGGCCTCAGTGAGATTGGTCGACCTATGCCTGGCCCGGATGAGGAGGCGCGGGTGTATGTGAAGCGGATTGTCGCATCAAGCAGGGCATGACAGGGCAACATGGTCAAGCCAAGCAATGAATCACAGCACTTCCGTTTTTTTGGGCACTACTGCAATCGGCCTCACGAGCCTCCTGCGAGTCAAATTGGACCAATCTTCGCTGGTAGCATCGTGCAAGCGGAAGGGGGAGGAAGCGGAAAGGAGAAAACTTGCTGTTCTTGGGACATCAACTGCCGGGGGTTGTGCCATCCCAGCATGGAACAATGGAAGCAAAAGGCTTCATCTTAACGGTACGATCCAAACAAGAAACATCCTTTGAAACCC